CTCTGGCTCAGGGTCCCCCAGACCCTTGCCTTGGGGGACTCAGGGGCAGAAGCACACCTACCTTTGGTCCAGCCACCCCACGGAGGCCCGGCGAGCCCTGGAAGATGCAGAGGGGACACAATGGCATCTGGCACCCATGGAAACAGGGCAGGGCCCCAAGGGAGCTGTGCGCAGGGGTCCTGCCCGCCGCAGAGCAGCCCGGACTCCAGGGTCTGGTGCTGGGTCGCACTGTGGGCTCGAGGACTACGCACCTGGCCTGGGGGGCCGACCTGCCCTGGGACGCCGGGGAGGCCAGGGGGGCCGAGGGGGCCTGGCACACCTCTGTCCCCCTGCTCCCCCTTGGCACCACTGTGGCCCTGCCGAGAGAGCAGTGTCACCCCCAGGACCTGGGAGCCCAGGTCCGTCCCTGGTGCGGGCATGTGCCCAGAACCAGCCATGACCACACTCCTCTGCAGGGAGGTACTCACCTCTCTGCCAGGGGGTCCTGGGTCACCTTTGTCTCCCTAACAAGGAGGGAAAAGAGTTAGGGATGCTGCCCCATCCGCATGCCCCAAAATGATGCTCCTGGACCCAGGCAGGGAGTAGCCACTGGGCGTGTGAGCACCACGCAGGGACCATGCAAGGACCACCCAGGGCTTGGCTCCTTACCTTTCTCCCATCCTCTCCTGGCGTCCCGTCTTCTCCCTGGGGACACAAGTGCCCAACTCAACCACCCCAGTACGGGCACCACATGGGATGGGGACAGGCACTGAGGGCATGGCTCAGAGCACAGGGGACTCTTTGTCACATCCCCCCTATCGCCTTTATGTTGTACTGGGATTACCAGCCCTCAGGACCCCTGGGCGAGCCCTAAAGCCAAGCCTTGCTCCCCCTACTCACATTCTTGCCGTTAAGGCCGGGTTTGCCGTCATCGCCGGGTTTGCCCTGGGAGGAAGCAGAGGCAGTGAGAGAGCCCCCCTGGCACTCCCCAGCACCAGCAGCCAAGGGTCCCTGGGCCCCACTGCAGCCCCAGGGTGCAGGGAAAGGGGAGACCCGGCTGGGACTGACTGCAGGGGGCATGGGGCAGGATGTGTCCCCAGTGCACAGGGCAGCTGGTACTTACTGGGACACCGGGCGGTCCCAGGGGGCCCACAGGGCCAGGCAGTCCCTGCTCCCCACGCAGCCCGGGCAGCCCCTGTGGGGAAAGGACACAGAAGGAGCACAGGGCAGCAGGGCACCCATCTCCCCCAGCTGGCTTTGGGAGGAGGGAGCGTGACTGGGACGGTGGCACTCTGCTAGGGACAGGGGATGGTCCTGCTGTGCTGCCCCAGACCGAGGAGCATGGGATAGGACATCAGTCCCTTGCAAGCGCGATGGCGCCAGCGGGAGCACAACCCAAATCCTCCCTCTCCAGAGGTACTTACATCCCGGCCGGGGTCCCCCTGCTTCCCTGGGTCACCCTGCAGAGAAGGAGGAGGTGAGGACAGAGAAGGGCAAGGACCCCCCCCCCCCTGCCACAGGCTCCCCCCCCAAGCATCCCCTGCCCAGAGCAGAGGGTGTCCAGGGGGGTAGCTCCTCCCGCCCCATCGCCCCTCTGTCCTGCAGCCCCCACCCATGGTGCCCGGGGGCAGCTGTGCCCCCCCGTCCTGGACCACGCTCACCCGCAGCCCGGTGGGGCCTGGG